GGAACTGTGATATTTGTAATTCTAACACAACTAACATGCTGTATTTGGCAATATTTTATAAATATGAATTTATTTTTCTCTATCATTTCCCTAGCAAAACTGGAACACACTTTCTAGAGGGCAGGCCTTGATGTAGTCAAATAGGAGAAAATGAGACCATCTGGAGAAAGTACAAGGTTGCCATTGTAATTTCTTTTATAAACAGCCTCTCCTTTTTTTGTTTTATGAGCATTGTGGACTACAACAACAACAACAAAAACAAAGACATTATTAACCAATCAACTTTTGTGTGAACAAAGAAAGAAAAATAGTTAAGAGCTAAAACTTCTTTAAAAAATTAATTACAAGAGTCTTTACACTCAGTTCTCAAAGGTTACAAATGTCCATGCCACAGATACGTGAGATGGGCTCATAGTGACAAGATGACTCATCCCCAACAAATCATGAGTGTTTCCACAGTGGCGGGCAGAGCACATAACATTGGTTCTCATAGGAGCCTAGAGGGTCCCTTTGGAGGAGTCCTCAGATGGAAGATGTCTCCAAACCCATCTCCTGTTCACACTGGGGATCTTAGTCAAGAAGAGACAGGATTCCTCCTTAGTATTCCAAAGGACTGAACTGACTATACAATTATCTCCTTGAATATCTGCCTTTAGTAGACACTTCATTGTTCCCTTCTCTTCCACATGAAACAGAATCAGAGGAGTTATCTTGATGAGGGAATAAAATAATTTTTGTCCTCATGGCAATTGCTCATAATTGTATAATATATTTTCAATAAAGACTTCCCAGAAAATATGGCAGGTTCATGGAATAGATTTAGTAATATGAACAAACCCTTCCACCTCCTTTTGTTGTGGTTAGCAGCATCTCCAGACTTGCAATGAAAATCCTGTCATGATGCAGGGTACTGACAATGGAGGCCCTGCCTTAAAATAAGCAGAATCATTCAACTATAATACTGAATTTAATTCAGAATATGAGGTAGGAAGTAGGGATTGCTATGTTATTCTCAGAATGTTGTTTTGAAGCTGGGTGACATACAAGATCACAAATACAACAGCAGTGTCCGATTATCAGGACCCAAATAGCTGCACAGAAGGAAGAAACAGCAGCTACGTTCCAGGTTTTTAGAGAGCAGAACTTTTATCAGTACGCGATGAGCCTATTGGTCTGTTGGAAGCCTGAGTTACTTCTGAGATGGCTTCTCCTGCTCTTTCTAAAAGAAAATACTATCATTTTATTAGTGATAATTATTATTACTACAGCTGCTATGATGTTGAAACTTTGGTCGGTAACTTGGGTATATGGTATAATACACAAACCAGAAAGAATTGTGGTTACTCTTTCAATAGTTCAGGTTTATGATAGGCACACAGTACGCATCTCATTTAAGGAAAGGATGTAAGTAAATGATCATTGTGTGCTGTTAGCATGTTATCTTCAAGCAGTGATGGGAAAGTGAGCTACTATAAAATGTAGGAACAATGGCTTGTTCCTCCCTTGACATGCCTGCCTCAATGTCATGGAACCAGGTACGTTTTTGTTCTTTAGTTAATATTGTAATGGTGGTCTTGCCAAGCCAGAGTAGAGTGAAAACAATATTCAGAAAAGAGATGGAAGAGGAAAAGAATTTGTATTGTTTACATGCAGAGAAGCAATGTCTACAGGTGTTCTGTGGGACTGCATAGTTTATTGCTTGTGTTATTTCTTTCTTTTTTCCCATGTGCTTTTCCTAGCAGCTCAAACTGAAAATATTTTGTATGTGTCCATATTGTAAGCCATCATATTTTTCTAGACTAGAGATTTAGTGTAGTGTAGAAACCTTTTATTTCTTCTCGAAGGGTTAGGCACATCAATATTCTAGCTACTCACTTTCGAGGCCAATGGAAACTGTGCGCCTAAGATTAAATAGACCAGAGTAACACATAAATTCAGGTTTTACAGAGGCAGTGTGTTACTTAGTTATACATCCTGAATATCTGATGAGTATGAAACACCTGTTGGAAAACACACAGCTAACAAACAGACTCTGGCTGAAAATTCCAAGACAGCAAGAAAGGAGAAATTCATAAAAAGGTTCTCTACAGAAAGACGAGTCCCAAGAGACCATTCTGCATCTGTAGAGCCCGTTAGTGGAGGATCCGGTCTGTCTTTGGAAAACTGGCTTGTAGAAGTTCTCTAGGATGCTCTTAGGAGCACAGGGGCAATTGACACAGGCACTGCTCTGCAGTGTGTTCTTTCTTCCCTCAGACACAGAGCTGTGTGCGTATGGGTATTGTTGTTTTATATGTATATAAAACAGGACTCATACTATTACATAAAAGCTCGCCCTTTCAGGTTTAAGAATTCCACATAACTATTATATGCTTTACATTTGCCCAAAGAGCTTTTAAAAAAAAAAATAAGTGTTTGAACAGTATTATGTTTGGTTTAAGTAGTTTTTCTCTATCTAGTATGTACTTAAAGCAGTTAGATTGGCAGTCTAAGTAGTCAGAGGATGATTTTTTTTTAACTTCAGATAAATAATTGTATACATTACATGCATATGTTCAATAATGTAGATAATTAATCCTGCATAAGTCTGCCATGCAAGTTTTCATCTAAAAATTGAGGCAAGAAAAAAAAAGAAAAATCTCCCCAAGAAAAACATTTGCCTTAGAAATCTATCCAACTGTACGAACTGTCTCTCATCAACCAAACTGCTCTTTGGCTTGCAGATGTGCCTGAGGATGTTATAAAACAAGCTACAAAGATTTTTTACAATCAATTTTTACATATTAGAAAACATGACGCCAAGACACTAACAAGAAAAACAGTATTCCATATAATGTTGAGAACTATTTATCTGAAATTTTTTAAACATCAACATATACAAACATCCTGATGAACCTGAAATATTAGTTAACTAGTTAACTGCCACGATATCTGAGGTTTGCCTCAAAACAACAAGACAATACAGTGGGAAACTTCTAGGCCACAAGTTAAGCCATTGAATAAACTAGATGATGAAGGCATGGGAGCTCATTATTGTAAGCTGCCTACATTCATGTATTTGAAATATTTCACAAAATAATCTTAAAAAATATATACTTCATTTGAACTTTCAATCATTTATCCATTATTTACTGACTGATTCATTCACTATTCATATGCAAGAGATTATGGAGATGCAAAAAGTTAAAATACAATGATTTTGTTGGGCATTTTGATTATAGGAATAGAATTTATTTAAAATGTCTATAAAGACTTTATAACTAAATGCAAAATTCTTAAGTTAAATTTTGAAAGAAGGAACAACAATTATTAGAGACATTCTGAGTACTGCATATTCAAAAATATGTCTTCAGGGGAAAATGAGAGTTAGAAAATATATCAAATAATTATTAATGGTTGGATTTAAATTATAGAAATAATTACTTTAATTTTTCTTCATTTTAGTCTTATGTATTTTTCCAAATTATTTTTAATGAACATGTATCATTTTAAAATGAAAATAAATATTTATTCATTAGTGGAAAGATATGTTCTCCTTCCCCTAGGAGATTTCTTTTACTAAAACAGAGAAACTGCAAACACACAGCACTGCCCTGTATTTTACATCTTCCTGCCTGTAAGTAAAATACACCTGAAGGCACAAAATCATCGATACACACTGTATCTGATCACAAAAACAGAAAACACTTTCTCTGTGTTGGAGAGCAATAGGGGAGGAAGCCACTTTCTTGCAAGTCAGCCAGAGTGTGAAACTCTGGCTCTTCTGTGATGACATCATTTGTGATGAATGGAAAGGGAGCAACAAATTAAAGTTTCTAAGTAAGCCTGTCCCTTGTGCCTCTAGGCTCACACTGATAGGATGAGGGTTTATTCTGGGTAGCAAAACAAGTAAAGCAGGGAGGAGAGAGGGAGAGAGAGTTACAGTCCTAAAGGCTGTGGCCTTCAGGGGCAAGCTGGATACACTCAGGGACAGAGATAGAGGGGCAACAGAATTAGAAACAACAGAGTGACAACTATGGATTATGTGCAACGGACATGGAAAGTCCCCACTAGAAAGCTATCTTTATCAACCCACGAGATAATTTTCTTCATTTTGTGCCCATTCATGTAAAGTGAACTCAAGAGTGTGACTTTTAAAGGTTTGGGTGACGATGCCGTTCATGACTAAATAGGCTAGAGAGCCAGGCAGAAGGGTGGGATGCCAGGCAAGTCCGTAATCCTTTGTCCTTGCATTTCACTGTGGCCATCCTCCAGCTAACTCAGTCCTCCCAGGGCTCTGACTTGATGACCTGGAACCATACCCTTTGTCCTGCCGTGCTCTCCTTTAGACACCTACTACCATGACTGTGCAGAGGACACAATGCTACCCTTTTAGAAATTTTACAGTCTCATCAGAAGACAGAGCCAAATTTTAAGCCTGTTTACATGGAGCTCTGATCTGCGCCATTCATCACTAGAGTTGGACTTGTTTACTCGTATACCAACGAGTCTTTCCCCTTTCTTTCCACAGATAGATCCAAGAGTGGCTATGTTTGCTTTTAAGATTGAAAAGAAGAAAATATATTTCAGACTTACAGAATATTAAAATACAAAGCAGAAGTTCAAAGAAAGATAAAATGTTTTTTAATGATTTTCTGTGTATTTTTTTAATGCCAAATTGTGGCATTCTCCATAGGAGACATCAGTGGCTAGCTTCACCTCATGGCTAGAAAAAATTTCTCTGGAAAGACTTCTAAACAAGTCATCTCAATACTTCCACCCATGCCTGCCAAAGTAATTCAAAATGTTTACCAATACTGTGATAATGGGCTTGTATTCCTCTATATTTTACCAATTTCTAAAAACATTCTGTTCAAATTTAATTCTTGTAGTGGTAAACTCACTATAGCCCTTATATTTACCTTTTGTTAGTTTGAAGTTGGCAAATTTGTTATGAATACATTTTATTTCTTTGGACTTCAATATTTTGGACAGCAATTGAGAGACAATGAAAGTTCACTTACCAGGCAACAATCTTGGTGAAATATTCAATTGTTGATGGTAAAAGTCTGAAATGGAAAAGGATGCCGTAAATGTTGGTACATATCTTAACATATGACAAACATGGCGATCACACAAAATAATACATATATCACTCTTCTGGGACCCAGGTTGGTGATATTTTACAGAGAGTACAGATTACTTCTTTTTGGGAATAAAAGCAAAATTATGTCTCAATCACAAGTGACTTGTTGAGTGCCTGGATGTTTTTATCTTGATGATTACTAACTAGAGGCAGTCAGTGAATGAGAGGTCTGCTAAACCTTTGTACAACACCATGTTGATAAAGTTAAGTTCATAGTTAATTATTGTGGTCTGCATAAAAATAATCGAACTATTGTGAACCACAAGAATTTGCAATTCTCTTTGAATTTTACTGTACTTTTCATTAAGCATTTTATAGACTAGGCATCAACAAACCAAATAATCCAATAGAATGTAGGGTACAGATGTAAACAGAGAATTCTTAACAGCAGAAGCTCAAATGGCTGAGAAACACTTAAAGAGATGTTCAACATTCATAGCCATCAGGGAAATACAAATCAAAACTACTCTAAAATTCCATCTTACACCTGTCAGATTGGCTAAGATCAAAAATACAAGTGACAGCTAATGCTGGTGAGGATGTGGAGGAGCAGGAACAGTCCTCCACAGCTAGTAAAAGTGAAATCTTGTACAGCCACTATGGAAATCCATATGGTAGTTCCTCAGAAAATTGGGCATTGATTTACCTCAAGACTCAACTATAACACTCTTGGGCATATACCCAAAGGATGTCCCATCCTACCACAAGGAAACCTGCTCAGTTGTGTTCATAGCAGTTTTATTCAACCTAGATGTCCCTTAACTGAAGAATAGATAAATAAAAGGTGGTACATTTACACAGTGGAGTATTACTTAGCTGTTAAAAAATTACATTATGAAATTTTCAGGCAAATGGATGGAACTAGAAAAGTTCCTGACATCATCCTGAATAAGTTAACCCAGATGCAGAAAGAAAACATGGTATGTACTCACTTAGAAGTGGACATTAGCTATTAAGTAAAGGATAATCCTGCTACACACCATAGACCTAGAGAGGTTAAGTAACAAGGAAGGCTCAAGCCAGGGGATGCAAGGATCTCCCTGGAAAAGCAAAATTTAGAATAGATTTTTCAGGTGGACTAGGGGCAGGTGAGATGAAAACAGGGAGGATTAGTTGTGGGGTAGAAGGGATGAAGGAAGAGAGTACTGGAAGAGATGACTGAAATTGGAGGGCATTTGGGAATGATGTAGAAGTGCAGTGGAAATTCCTGGAATCTAAGGGAGTGACCCTAGTGAAGTCTCCTAGTATCGGGTGATAAGGAGCCTGAACTGGCCATCTATAACCAAGCAAAGCTCCTACCCGTGGGACGGGGCATCAACTGAACCACTAACCTTTCTACTTACAATCTGTCCTGCCTGTAAGATGGGGTAATGGTAGCAAAGAACTTGTGGGAGTAGTCAAACAATGATTTCTCCAACTTGAGTCCCATGACATGAGAGGAAGCCTACACCTAATACGTCATGGATGGCCAGGAACCAGAGGCAGTGCAACCCAGAAACTCAGGATAGAACCAAACATGACTGAGAAACCAACAAGCAAACAAAAAGTCAATGCAATGATTTCTAATGATATTCTGCTATACTCATAGTTTGGTGTTTAGTACAATCATCATCAGAGAGGCTTCATTGAGCAACAAATGGGAGCAGCTGTAGAGACTCACAGCCAAACATTGGGCAGAGCTCAGGGAACCCATGGAAGAAGAGGAGGTAGGATTGTAGGAGTCAGAGGTGTGGAGGACACCAGGAGAACATGGCCCATAGAATCAACTAAGTGGGACTCAAAGGAATTCACAGAGACTGAAGAGAAAAAAAAAATGCCCTGTATGGGCTGAGCTAAGTCCTCTGCATGTATGTTATGGTTGTGTAGCTTGATGTTCTTGTGCCTTTCCCGACATTGGGAGTGGGAGTGAATGTCTCTGACTCTTTTGCCTGGGCTTGGGCATTTTCCTCTTATTGGGTTGCCTAGTCCAGCCTTGGTATGAAGGTTTATGCCTAGCATTACTGTAACTTGTTAGGCCATGTTCCATGGACATCCCTGGGAATCCTGCTTTTTTTCTAAAGAGAAACAGAGGAGGAGTGGATCTGGGGGAGGAGAGGGGAGGTAGGAGGAGGGCCTGGAAGGATTGAAGAGATGTAATATATATAGCAAGAATAAAAGAAAAAAAACATTTTATAAATAAAAGCAAATTAGTCTTTCCTTGCTTTGGTGTTTGTTCCTCGTGTTCTCAATGTAAGTCTTGGGGCAGTGATGAGAAAATGAGCGATGGACCATACACTCATGCTTTTGTGGGGTGAATTACTGGTCATGTGGTCCTTCATGGCTATAAATTAATGGATGGTTTTCAATTCCAAGCCAGGTAAGATAGGCACAAATTTGAGGTGAAGCTTTAAAACTTCTATATTAAGTTCTAAAATCATAGAATGCAAATGAACATTTAAAGATCTTCAACCATGGAGCATGAGGTAAGTCTCCAGTGCTATATAATCTACATTTTAGAAATGGCTTGTCTAACAGTAGGCTTGTCTTCATACTTCCACATGGTTTTTCTTATCAGTTGCCTTAAGAATTCAGAAGTCACAGGTGGTTTTCCCAGAGGTCACCCTACCTACTAAGTACCATAATGACAGCCGAAGGAAGACATAACATAACTAAACTACTCCAAACATGACTCAGAAAGACCTGAAATTTGTCAAGCCACAAGCAATGAAAGTTTACATGACAGAGTCCCTTCATAGGAAAGGACTTACATATACAAAGGAAAACAAAAGTCATTATTCAGAGGACATAAGAAAAGCCAAAATTCAAGGGAAATTGTGGTAGAGTATTTTTTTCTTTCTTATTTATTTATTTATTTATTTATTTGCTATTACTGTCTCAGTGGTAGAGTATTTTTAAAAGCAAAAACATTAAATATTTAACACTTAAGCATATGAAGATCACCAAGGTAGCTTGACAAAAATTAGTTTTTTAAATGAGTCTATGCAACAATGACAACTGAAAGGAAGTTAGGAGAGATGTAGAACTGCCTTCTGAGATTTGATGCTTTTATAAAGAATGAGAGCAACCAGCCAGTCAGCTCAGTTGGTGAGATTACAGTGCCAATAAAGAGTTAAGAGTGGGCAATAAGGACTTCCTTATTACCTAAGATGATGTCTCCAATGCTAGAACTGAGGCTCCATTTCTAGCTTCTTGTCACCCTTTCCTTGCCTGAGCAGTGCTGTTAGACAGCCAGTGAGTCTCTCCCCAGCACACCAAAACAAGTATTTACAAAGCTGCTACTGTGCACAAGGAACGACGAGGTAAATACACTGTTTGAAGAGCTGTCGGTGACTGAGGATCTTGTTCAGAAATTAGAAACTATCTAACACTGAGAAGAGAAATGGAGTTGAAAGGGTTGTGTAGATCTAAGAGATATCACAAAATAAGTCAAAACTCGCTTCTGCTTAGGATGGCACAGGAAGAGAAAGTTTTAAGTTTGGTAGCCTTGCCTCCACGTGGATCCAGCATGACAAATGAGAAAGTACACATAGCTTCTGTATTCCCAGGACTGTGATGACAGCTGACAGGGTGGCCTGGGAAGACTTGCTTGCCATAAAGTGAACTTTCAAATCCATTCCTGCCTACCTAGGGTTCAGAGTGTGAAAACCCACCAAGATAGATACATATGGAAGCTATCTGACACAAGATGGTAGGAAAATGTTAGGTCTTTCCTTTTGCCTCCTTCCACCTAACCAGATGTCTGCAACTGTTTTTGATAATGGAGAAATGCTGACTCCCTTAAGTGTTCTGGTTTTTCAGTTTTTAAAAATTCATTTGAAAATTAGGGTATTCCAAATAAATTCCTATATATAGATTAATACATTGGTTGTAGATTATTAATTATGCAAAACTTGAATTCTAAGGAATGTTTTTTATGTTTTTCTGACATCAGAAAATACTTATGAAGCTGCTCGGTGTCCCAGGCACAACGGAAGTATTTCTGCTTGGACAGCTAAGTTAATGGCTGAGGCTCTTGCAACATTACTGTCACTTCTGCCAACAGCAACAAATAGAGATAAGGTTGGATATTTTTTATAATGTGGTACAAATATGCATAATTACATATTGGAATTCAAGATCAGCTATAATAGACTTAGAGGGGTATGTAGAAAAATGTGTGAATATAATTTTCTGGCTAAACACTCGACTGTTCTGACCAATTTTCATGTCAATATTTTTCCATAAGCAGTTCACTGAGCTACAGATACTGTACAGAAGAAAAAGAGTTGGAAGGAAATGTATATATAATATTGTTTAAGATATTTACTAATTTAGTCATGACTCATTTTAAAACAACAAACCCTCTGCAATAATAAATGCAATGCAGAACTACAATGCCAATAATCTTGATCATTCAATTGTTACAATAAAAATCCCCATTACTTACATAATGAAACCCGAAAAAACAGGCAAAATATGCTTGCTTTGATTTTTATCTTTGCATGCTCCAGTTTTCCATACAAAGGAATTTTAAATTATAAGCTAACCTATAGGAAAATGCATAAATTTTGGCACAGTATGAATTAAAAAATAAAGCACAATAATCAAGAAAAAGCACACTTCATGACACAGTATGGATTTTAAAAAAACTCACAATAATAAAGGAAAAACATGCCTCAGATCTTTAATAAACCAAACTCATTGCTACGCCACAGCTATAACATCCAGAAAGAAAGCATGCGCTAAAAGCAGGATACTGATTAAAAATATGAAAAGCCCAATTCTTCAATAGTTTGTGTTTGTATTGTAAAGACCATGGCTTCTCTTTCCCACTCAGCTTCCACCAACTTTCATTTGATTCAGACAGAACTAGCGCAGTCTACCAGATGGTTTAACAGATCTCTACAGTGTCCAGTTTTGCCCTCCCCATCACTTTATAAGCAT